GAATGTGACTCTGGATCCAGACACGGCTCATCCCGAACTTGTCCTGTCTGAGAATGGAAAAAGTTTGATACGGGCAGACACACGGCAGCGACTGCCCAACAACCCTGATAGATTTGACACTCGTCCCTGTGTGCTGGGCTGTGAGGGATTCACCTCGGGGAGACATTGCTGGGAGGTGGAGGTGGGGGATGGGCAATACTGGGCTGTGGGGGTGGCCAGAGAGTCTGTGAGGAGGAAGGGAGGCGTCAGCCTCAGCCCTGAGGGGGGGATCTGGGCTGTTGGGTGGTGGCTGAGTCAGTTCCGGGCTCTCACCTCCCCTGTGACCCCCCTGCCCCGGCGCCGGGTCCCCAGCAGGATCCGGGTTTGTCTGGACTGTGACCGGAGGCAGGTGACATTTATCGATGCTGGTGACGAGGCCCTGATCTTCACTTTCCCGCCGGGCTCCATCCCTGGGGAGAGAATCCGACCCTGGCTCTGGCTGGTGTGGGTGGGATCCCGGCTCAGACTGTGTCCCTGAGACACACAGCAGAGGGGGTGTGATGATGCGGTTCTGGCGGAACCCAACTGAGGGTGCCAATTCAGGACAAATTGCTCAAACAGGGCAGTTACAGCCCTAGGCTGTGGTTTTTCCACCTCTAAAGCAAACCAAACCAGCCAGACAGTGAAGACTTTGGTCTCATCCCACTGGCTAACCACAAGTCACACAAGCAATTCCCGTAGACTCTCCAGTTTCCCAGTATCATCACCAGTGCCACTTGTTATGGGGACAAATGGTTATGGAAACCTCCTCTGCTTGGGGAGGAGGTGTAGCAGAGGTGAGCTGGGGTGGGGAGCCCTGCGGCAGCTCCCCACTGCGGCAGCTCCCCACCCCGCTGGCCCGGGGAGCCGTGCGGCAGCTCCCCACCCCAGCTCACGTCTGCTCTGCCTCCTCCCCGAGCATGCCGCCCCCACTCTAATTCTCCTCCCCTCCCAGGCTTGCGGTGCCAAACAGCTGATTGGCGCTGCAAGCCTGGGAGGTGGGAGAAGTGGAGCAGCAACCGTGCGCTCGGGGAGGGGGCATAGCAGAGATGAGCTGGGTTGGGGAGCTGCCGCACGGCTCCCCAGGCCGGGGGGGTGGGGAGCTGCCATGGGGAGGGTGCCTCAGGGTGGGGGGGAGAGATGCCACAGGACTCTCCACCCCAGCTCACCTCTGCTACACCCCCTCCCTGAACACGCTGCCCCCATCAGCAATGACAATAATAGCATGGAGCTGCCACTGCACTGGGAGAGGGAGTCTGAACCACACGTGTCAGCGCGCCGCCAGCAGCCCAGCCCAGGAACGCTGTAAAAAAAATTGGGGGCACCGCTTTTTGGCGGCCCCAAATCTTGGTGCCCTAGGCAACTGCCTAGTTTGCATTAATGGTAGCACCGGCCCTGGATGTGGGGGTGGCAGGGACACAGAATGAATCAATCAGGGTTTGGGGAGTTGGGGAGACGCTGGAAGCTCTGCAGCAGTGTCATTTGATCTTATTGGGATCACCCAGCCAGAGCTCTTGCCACAGGGGCCCAAGTTACCTTCCCCTGTAGATGCAGGGTTGGCACCACTGTATTTGTCACACCCATGGGGGATGGGCAGGGAGAGTTAAAAAATCACAAGATAAACCAGGCTACATTATATAATTTTTTTTGAAACCTCATGTTTTGGGGAGTCAATTTCAGTTCTGCCTTGTGATTTTTAGCTTCTGGGGTTAGCAACACTGTGAGAGTCAGGGGGGGCAGGGGGGGCTGAGCCAGAAGGAACAGAGAAAACACAAGGAAAAGATAAAGTAAAACAAAATAAACAGAGAGTCCTGGAGAAAGGGTGAAAATTAAATATAAAAACAATGAAAGGAAAACACTTTGGAGAGGGGAAAGGACCAGAGGCAGTGAGAGGGGAAGGGATAAACTCAGGGGAAAGAATGGAGAACATGAGGGAGAATGATCTGTTAGAGAGATCAGAGAAGAATGGAAGACACACAGAGAAATAAACAGGGATGGGAAATGAGGGCTAGAAAAATGGTTAGTAATAATGAACACCCATTGGTGGACCTGCCGATCAGCACCTCCCCCTCCATTCCCTCACCTCCTGCCCACCGCGATCAGCTGTTTTGCAGTAGGCAGGAGTCTCCGGGGGGGAAGGGTGAAGAAGTGAGGGCACGGTACGGGGCAGGGGCCTTAGGGAAAGGGGTGGAGTGGGGTCAGGGCCTGGGGCACAGCCAGGGGTTAAGCAGTGAGCACCCCCCGCACATTGGAAAGTTGGTGTCTGTAGTTTCAGCCCCGGAGTCGGTGCCTATGCAAAGAGCTGCATATCAACTTCTGAAGAGTCGCATGCGCTCCGGAGCCACAGGTTGGCCACCCCTGCTGTAACTAGTTAATTTCATATTAGAGAATATTTAAAAAATAAATGATACAGAAAATTTGAAGCGTCAGTTATTGGTCATTGGGGGTAACATACAGAGTATAGGGGTATGTTGGTGTTTTGGGGTTGGGCAGCACACATAGTATATACAGACTGCAATGTCCCCAATGAGGGGTGGGTAACCGGTGGGCGGGATCAGGAAACAGTCGATAAGCGGTGAGGGTCTATCACCCATACGGGAAGTAGAGACAGTCATGGGTATAAGTAAGCGGGCTGGGTAATGAGGATGGGGTGACCCTCACGTGGCGGGATTCAGCTAGGTTTGGTGGGTTCAGGGCTCAGGGGATAGAGTCCAGCAGGGGGTGTGTGTGGGTGCACGAGGTCTCCCCGGCTCACTCTCGGTATTGGCGGTGGCCGGTGATGTGCTCGATGTAGATGTCCCAAGACCAACGGATAGTGTCCGAGACCATTAGGCGTCTCATGAGCCGTGCGTAATGACGGCCCACCCCACAGGTCCTCAGCACGCGTTCGTTACACGGGTCCCAGGCACCTACGGCCCCAATGAGCAGAGCGTCGATGTGCACCTCGTAGCCCTTAGTCCGCAGGGTGTCAGCCAGGGGGGGGTCCTGTTCTCGAACGGAATCGTTACGTCAACCAGGATGATCTTTTTTCCCACCTCGTCTGTGACGACAGTGTCTGGGCGCAGTGGGCTGTCGGTGCCGGGGACGGCGCTGTTGACAGTGATCTCTCCCAGACGCGGGTTGATGGCCTTCAATAGACGGTCCTGGACGGCGTTGTGGCGTAGCTGCCAGGCTCTGGCATGGGGCTTGCAGCAGCATATGATGTGGGGCAGGGTTTCGTTGACGTACCCGCACTTCCTGCAGCGTTTGTCCCGGTTCTCGTGGCGGATGGCACCGTTGAGCGGAACGCAATTCAGCCGGGCGCGGTGAATGAACCGCCAGTCGGCGAACCGGGTGAAGCTGCCTGTGGGGAGGAAGTGGTTGCTGGAGTCCCACTTGCTGGTTACTTCGAAGACTTTACCCTGGTCCGGCTTTTTCTTCAGGGTGTCCACGTAGAGCGCATGGACGGCGGCCTTCAGGGATCTCTCCAGCACGCCTCTGGCTCTGGGGGTGACGATGATGTTGTCCTCCGTTCCAATCCGCGGTATCAGGACTCCCAGCTCCTGCCGTTCCTCGTTCCATTCCCAGCGGCAGCCCAGTCGCTTTCCCAGCCGGCGCATGGCATTGCGGGCGCGGGTCCACAGCGAGGCGAGATCGCCCCTGTCCCAGGCGAAGTCGCCGTCCAGGGAGCCGCTCAGGAATGTGGCCACATCTCGGTCGGAGGGAGGTCTGCCGATTCGTTTCTCGGTGGCGGC